ATCAACATCAATTTATGAAGTTAGCTTATGTGATGTTCTCTCAAATATTTCAGTTGTATTGAAAATTCAACATTCACGATAACTTTGGGAAACGAGTGAATGCAATTAGTGAAAGATAACTGCAGACATGGAGGAAATGGGTCTATTAAGACTCTAAAAGTCTATTAAGACTCTTTTGCTTTTTTTCTTCTTCTGTTGTTATGTTGCACATTAGCAACATATTAGTGCACTGCTGCCTCTCACTGGTTTATTAATGTCATTGGTTCCTTTGTGACTACTTGAATATTTTAAGTAAGTGTCACTCAAAACAGTAAGTAAATTGTTTTATTTGCCTTGAAAGTAGCTGTAACTTGGGGTATAGAGGAGAAACAATAATGTACATTATGTGGAAAATAATGTGTTTTTTGAAACTTAAACCGCATAAACACATTGCATTACACCAAATACACAAAATAATGTTATTTTTTAGCAACATCATATGACCCCTTTAAGTAAGTGTCACTCAAAACAGTAAGTAAATTCTTTTATTTGCCTTGAAAGTAGCTGTAACTTAATAAAACCTAGTAAGTATAACAACTAAGTAAAGATAACTAGTTAAATCTAAATAAGGTAAACTATAGGATTTTACAGTGTGGAAGCATTTATACTGTATATTAATATAATAAATATTGGTATTATACACACACACACACGTATATGTATTAGTCAAAATAATTAGGCTGTATACTTTTGTTAATTAATTATTGTTAATTAGTTTATCAAATCATATGGTTCATTCAACGCTAAAATTTTGTGTCATGGATGAATTATGGATAGTAGAAAATATGAATACCTGAATAAATGAGTTCTTAACATAAAACATAATAGACCATAATGCTGGAGATGTCAACATGCTTTTTAAGCATATGTTTCTAAGAGGTGTATGCAGTATGCACATATGTATAAACCTTTTAACAAAAGCCCGCAAATCACAGAAAGTGTGAATCTATACATAAACAAAACATTGCAATAAATGGTTAATAAACAAATAAATGTATTATCAATCTATTTAAATTATATTCATAATGATTCATAATAAATGTTGACAGTGCCCAACTGTGACCTAAGAATAGGCCTATATTATGTATGTAATGTATGCGTAAAACATCCAGGGATAAGATGCAGATTGATAAGCCCAAAACCTGAATAAATGATTTCTTAACATAATAGGAAAAAAAAAAAAATAACAAGAGAATCATCTTTTTTCCTCAGTGGTATATGCACAAATGAATTAAAAAACATCGTAAAAAGGGTGTGACTAACCACTGATCTATATATTCTCTATTATAGGTCAGTGGAATTACCATAACCTAGCCATATTTAAAATGTACCTGACAGGCAAAGCATCACCCAGGAAGCTTCGGTGCAGAATTGATTGGCTTCAAGACTAGCCAATAGAATAAACACTTTCTTTCCTCTCTTTATCCAATCAGTAGTGGCCTTTGGCTTTCTTGCCAGTTTAACTCTACGCTTTGTATACAAACCGATTAACCTGATGCCCCTCACTGGCACTGGATAAGCGCATCCAGATGACATTCAGATCTGATGAGCGTCACGTTGACGCTTGTGAGTGAACCGGGTGTTACGCGGTAGTATTGTGACTGGCTGTTTACCCTCGGAGCCCACAGCTAAACTTCATACCGTGAGACCTTTAGGAACTTTAAGTTAATATTTTTAATAACATGTATTCTGAGGACATTGGTAAACTCGTCGCGGGCTGAACAGCTAAATGTGGAGCAGTGCTAAGTGTTCAAGAACGGTATGTTTACTTATGTTTGTTTATGCATGTTAACCTGTTTACTGAGTAAAATATAGAAGTTGCTGACAGCATGTCAGCCGCCTTTCATATTATCAACATCAATTTATGAAGTTAGCTTATGTGATGTTCTCTCAAATATTTCAGTTGTATTGAAAATTCAACATTCACGATAACTTTGGGAAACGAGTGAATGCAATTAGTGAAAGATAACTGCAGACATGGAGGAAATGGGTCTATTAAGACTCTAAAAGTCTATTAAGACTCTTTTTCTTTTCTTCTTCTGTTTTTATGTTGCACATTAGCAACATATTAGTGCACTGCTGCCTCTCACTGGTTTATTAATGTAATTGGTTCCTTTGTGGCAACTTGAATATTTTAAAGGGGTCATATGATGCGATTTAAATTTTTCCTTTTTCTTTGAAGTGTTACAAGCTCTTGGTGCATAAAGAAGATCTGTAAAGTTGCAAAGACTAAAGTCTCAAATCCAAAGAGATATTCTTTATAAAAGTTAAGACTTGTCCTCCTAAAACGCCTCATTTAAACACGCCCCCACATGTCTACGTCACTGTGTGGGAAGATTAGCATAACGCCGCCCTAATGTTCATGCGAAGAAAGAAGGCGTAACTTTTATTCTCGCTGTAGTGACGAAGCGGAGTCCAGCCCGGGGTCGTCACATGTGGTTGCCACAAGCCTCCTTCGTCGAATCCGCCGGGCG